TTCAAGTGTCCTATGGGAAATAATTCATGTCCTGTAGGTTTTTGGAAAGTTATTAAAATAGAACACATAGAATGAATGAAGTTTAATTGGGATACATACAAGAAGCATCTGATATGTGTGTAAAATGGGAGGAAGTTTAGGTGTCAAGGTTCTAGTTTCCCAATAAATACCTAAAGGATAGTGTATGAAAATTACAGAAAAGAGATACCAAGAGTGGTTAGAGTAAATACATTTATGTATGTCATCTATAACATGATAGTGCCTTTAAGCTCCGTTTCCTGATTCTCAAGAGTTCAGAGACACACTGATCGTCAGTCTCTTCAAGAAGGGTGACAAATTGGACTGTGAAAACTATCGCGGCATCTTCCTCCTAGCAGTGGCAGGGAAAATCTTAGCTCAAGTCCTTACCAATCGACTCCTGCCACTCTCAGAAGAAATTCTTCCACAGTTGCAGTGTGGCTTCTGACCATTCCGAGGAACAGTGGACATAATCTACACCACTTGGCAATTGCAAGAAAAATGTCGCAAACAAAATCAATCCGTATACATGAATTTCATCGACCTAGCCAAGGTGTTTAATTCAATCAACTGTAGCGCCCTATGAACCATCCTCTTAAAGACTGGTTGCCCCCCAAAATTTGTCAGCATTCTGAGGCTGCTTCATAACAATATGACTGCCACAGTCCTGAGTAATAACGGATCCTGAAACAACTCCTTTCAAGTCAAAACAGGAATCAAACAAGGCTGCGTCATTACCCCATCGCTGTTCTTCATCTTCATCGCCATGACCCTCCATTTCATTGATGGCAAGCTTCCAGATGGCGTGAAGATTGCCCACAGAACAAATGGGAATCTTTTCAACCTCAGGAGACTAAAGGCCAAAAGCAAGACCTCCACGACTTTGATCATAGCGCTCCAGTATGCGGATGACAATATGGTTGCTGCTCTTTTCCCCCGTAGCTCTTCAGAGCATCTTAAAGCACTTTCGCTATAGCGTAGGAGAATCTTGGCTTCACACTAAACCTCAAAAAGACCAAGGTGCTCCATCAACTCTCGCCAATGGGACAATCTCATACACCATCTATTAAAATCAACAGAGAACTGCTGAAAAACATGGAGCATTTCCCATACGTTGGAAGTTATCTCTCTGCCAAAGTCAACATTGACGCAGTACTCCATCATCGCCAGGGCTGTGCAAGCTCTGCTTATGCCCACTTGAGACAAAGGGTCCTTGAGAACCAGGACATCAGTGCCAAGACAAACTCCTTGTGTACCGCGCAGTGTTTGTTCCAACACTTCTGTACAAATGTGAAACTTGGACAACATATAAGTGTCACCTGACGGCACTTGAACATTATCAACACTGCCTCAGGAGAATCTTAACTATCCTTTGGGAGGACAGGCACACAAATATTAGTGTCCTGGAAGAATCGAACATGACCAGCATTGAAGCTATCATCATCTACCAACAACTTTGGTGGACTGGTCACGTAGTCTGGATGCCTGATCAGCTCCTGGTCACGTGGTCTGGATGCCCGATCAGCGTCTCCCAAAACAGATCCTGTTTTCTAAGCTGAAGGAAGGACGGAGGAGCATTGGGGGCCAGAGGACGCAATTTAAGAACTTGTTTAAGGCAAACATGAAAAAGTGCGGCATCAGTGTCGATACTTGGGAGAACCTTGCCTGGGACTGTCCCCACTGGAGTGGTAACCCATGAGGGGAGAGAAGGGTCCCACCACAGTGCAGACGAGAAGAGGCGGAGAAGGAGAAAAAAGCAGCAAAAACTGGCCCGTGTCGCTCCAAGATCCACCAGCACCTGCCTCTTCTGCAATAAGACCTGCAGCTCCAGATTCAGGCTGGTCAGCCATTTACAGATCCACAAATAGGGTAACAGGAAGACGTTCTACTTATTATCGAGTGGCCGCTGAGAGGGAGAGAGAGTGCCTTTAAGGACAAGTCTTCTGTTTAGATTATGGTTGCTGTAGTTAGATATAAAATGATCCTATCCTACCATATTATGATGCTTTTAAAGAGAGTTTGTAGGACTAGGAAAGGAATGTTCCTCCTGCACTTTGGACCACTGGGGCAATGCATGAAGTTTAGGGGTCCATTTCATACAAAAACAATTAAAGAGAAAATAGATAGAAAATTGGACTTAGTTTAGGAGCAGAACTGATGCATCATTTACTGGAAAGGAGACCAAGGTGTGACACAATCATTTTCAGTAAGTACCTGTCAAGAATTAACACACAGTGGGTAGAGAGGAGCGAACGTGCATAAATGAGCAGGAACAGTTTTAAGGTATATAATGACCCCTTTAGTGATACAAGCATTGACTTTTAAGCATCTGAAGTCCCTGGGGCTGCTGCTGAGAACAGGGGCAACATTCTCTGATACGTTTTAAAAGAGAAAACTTGTAGCCGTTTGCCATAAAACTTTTTATTGCTAATGAGGTCAGTTAGACAATAGAGTGACATCAAATATATCTAAAAAAATCTCATAGGAGCAGCTGTGTCAGTCTGTAACTTTAAAAACAATGGGTGGTCCCGTGGCTCCTTATAGACTAACCAAAATATATAGAATCATGAGCTTTTGTGGGCAAAACCTAATTCATCAGGTGAACTGGAATGGAAAAAGCAGAAACTAAGGGACATATGTAACAGCAAGTGAAACTGCAGATAGCACTGATGGAGAATGTGTGGGAACCTCAATTCCTTCCTATAGTTATGGAGGAGGATAGGCCCATGTCAGGTGCCAGACTTGGTCCTGTTCTTGAGTGTGGCCAGTACAAGAAATCCCACAAGGGGCATCTGTGGCCTACTCTGCCACACCATTCTCATCCCCAAGAGAACTGATTAACTCCTGAAGCAGGAGGGTTTATAAACCTTTCAAAATGTGTTCACATTAACTGCTACAATGAAGGAATCCATGTTATCTGTGTAAATGGTCAGTCCTCCTTTTAATATTGCTAAATTCTAGGTCATAATGACGTACCGTGGCAACGAGTTCCAATCTAATCACAACAGTCTGTAAACAAGTATTTCCTTTGACTTTCCCACCTTTGAAAATTCATTGCATGTCCATGTTCTTATATTGTGACACAGGGCAAATAGAAGTTCTCTGTATGAACCTATTGACTGTTTCTAGGCCATCCATTATTTTATATACTTTTATAATGTCTCTGCTTATTTTTCTCCTTTCTAAAGCAAACAACTTCAGTCTTTTCAGTCTCTATTCATATGGGAATTTTTCCAAACACTTTTTTTTTCTTGCTACTATTTGGTGAAGCTCCTTGAATTCTGCAATATCCTTTTTTGGGATGAAGTGACCCATATTCTGCACAGTGTTCCAAATGGGAGGGATGGGGTGGAGAACACTGCTTTCTGGGAAATTGACCCATGCTCCCAGTCATCCCTGCATGACTCATTTTGGCCCAATCAGGCATTGGGATACTTACCGCTGGTGCACTGCACTCTGCATCGATGTAAGTGGTCTTGGTGAGGGTGTGTACCGAGGACACAAGGAGAAAACTGTGTACATTCACAAAATCTATGTAAGAGTTGTGATGGCTGTATGCCAGCATAGATCAGCAAAATTTTGTCGTCTCAGCCTGACCACGGTCAGAGAGTCCTTGGTCAGCTAATGGCTTACCTACATTTAAAATGCTACAGCAGTATAGTTGCTCCGCAACAGGTTCACTGTTGTAGAACCTCAGTATAGATACTATTTACACTGACAGTGTAGGTCAGTGGTTCCCAACAAAGGGTACATAGAGGTCTTCCTGGGGGAACATCAACTCATCTAGATATTTGCCTAGTTTTGCAGCAGGCGGTAACTAGACCTTCACCTGGAGTTAGGTCTGTCCAGCTGTTTCTAAGGGGTGTGAACAATCCAATCATAGAATCATAGAGCTGGAAGAGACCTCAGGAGGTCATTGAGTCCAGCCCCCTGTCCAAAGCGGTCCAATCCCAACTAAATCAACCCAGCCAGGGATTTGTCAAGCCGAGACTTAGTGTAGACCAGATGTAGAGTCTCAGCAGGCCTTGTGTCGACACGCCAGTTTTACTCCACTCAGTGTTACTCAACATTAAGGGTTTACCTATGCTGGCCCGCAATGCAATGATATGGCTATTAAAGTGCTTATTTGGGTTTGAGACGTAAATGCTTTATGAGTGTGGATGTGCTGCTGTGGATTAGCTTGCATCAAGTTAAATAGGCTTTGTCAATGCAGACATTTCCCCATAACGCAGGATATTAGGGATTGCCGTCTGAACTATGGTGAAGGAACTCTACAAGATGCAGCATGTACTGTTCAAGAAAGCTAGTACCATCCAAAGAATGCAGAAAATTACCACGTGCCTCTACCACCTACAATGCAATACAAGAGAGTGGACCCACAGTTAGAGGTCTCCTGCATCCAGGAGAGGCATCTTGTGCTCCCTGCCTGACATTGGTGAGGGACTGTGCTATCTGGAGATTCTGAAGGCAGCCTTTCTCTCCTGACGCTTGCTCCCTTTTCAAAGCACACAGATGATACTGCACCAGTCTTTGGGTTTTGTGACAGCAAAAGGGTTTTTGTTACATTTTAATATGCGAAAAATTATACACACAGTAAAGGTCCAGAGTGCTGTTTTGCCCTCCTTAGAGAGAAGCAGTCACCTCCCAAAGAAGATGTCAGTGTAAAAGTCTACAATGGTTTTCGTGTTTAAATCAGCATTTCTCATTTTCCTTATTTAGTAACTTATGTTAAACCTCTTCTTATTTTTCCCTAAGTCATGGTGTGTATTTACTGAGGACGGCTGCTTTATAAGGGAATTCTTATCCTTTAATGAAAAATCATAAAGCTTCTAGAAATTCTTCAATGTTTATGCAATTCATGCCTTATGCATTCTTTGTCAAATACTGTAAATAATAAAATACACTCCAGTCAAGCCCCTTGGGAGAACTACAGCCTGGGGTGTATGTGAGCTCACTGAATGATTCTCTACCTTAATTTACAGACGTCCACTTGGACACTTTTTCAGCAGAATCAAGTAAGTGTGAAAATGACGGTCTTCTATTAAGAGCAAAGATTTGGAAATGTTGTATAATGAAATTACTGAAATGCAGGGCTGAGGAAACATTTATTCATATTGGTACCTTGAATGCAGCCAAATTAGGAATGTGAATGGGTCCCCATTGAATGTGGGTTGTAGCAGTTTGATGATACCCCATAAATTATTTCCTACCTGGGGAAGCAGATTATAACTAGGGGCCTGGGGTCAGAAGGGATTTTATTTCTGTATTGAAGCAGGTCACTTAGGGTATTTGGGTAGCGCATTCCATGATGAGATCTACTGCTGTGGTAGAGTATCTGTGTTTGGTGAAGGTAGTTTTGAGTGTGGTAAGGTATATATCCTGACCTTTCTCCTCAGAGAATATTCTGTGACATCTGAGTTAGAAAGGGGGCTGGGAGCAGGCAGCAGCCCCAGGGCAAGAAACCTGAGGACTGGGAGCTGCTGCAGTTGGGCTGGAGTGATCCCCAGCCTTGGCGGCTTTAGTTGGTTAACCGGTTAAATGCTAGGCAAACCTAACGTTTTACTGGCTAACTGATTAGCCAGGATTTTACATACCTAATCTGAGAGCCAGGCTGTAGGTAACACATTTCATAGTCTGTTTGGGGTGGTTATTGGATCTGAATGTAGATGAGGTGATCCATGAGTTCCTTAGATATAGTTATCTGTAGGGTTCCATTGCTGCAGCTGAATGTGATATCCTGGAAGCTGATGCTAGTGTGGCAGTGTTCCACTGAGATTTTTATGGATGGGTAGCGGTTGTTTTAAATTGTGGTAAAAATCTGTGAGGGAGTTTAAGCGATCTGTCCAGAGGATGAAAATATCATTGATGTGTCTCAGGTGTATATTAGTTTCAAGGTGCATTTGTCTTGGCATTCTTTTCAAGGTGGCCCATGAAGAGGTTGGCATTGTTGGGGAGCCATCCTAGCAACCATGGCTGTTCCCATGGTTTGGTGAGTGTTTGTTGTTGCTATGGTGAGGATGAAATGGATGATTTTGGTCATGTGTGTTGGTAAGGATATCTGAGTGTTCTCTGTTGTGTTATAAATATTTGAGGCAGACAAGTATGCTGTCATTGTGAGGGATGTCAGTATATAGGGAAGTGACATCCCTGGACTGGGGAGGATGGTGTTCCAAGGAAGTACGGTAATGTTGTCAAGTTTGGAGAGGAAGTCAGTTTTGTCCTGGAGGAAGGTGGCCCTGTGTGATGTGGCACTGTCAACCTTCACTCCATTTTAGCATTGTTTTTTGCCCGAAGGTTGCTGGAAAGCACATATTGGCTTGTACAAAAGGAACAGTCGTTATGCTACATTTATAGATTCTTTCATTCACAGATCTCAAGTGCTTTACAAATGTTACAGGACATCTCACCACTCCTGTGACATGGTAGACTTTTGTGGTGTGCATTTTACATATGGGGAAAAATGCAGGTGCAGGGAGGCCAAGTCATGTATTCCAGATCATATAGTGAGTTGGGGGAAAGTTAGGGTAGGAATTCTGACTTCATTCCTCTTTCCTTGCCACTAGTGTTGTGTGCTAATGTGAAAAACATTTCCCTTTTCTTACATTTTATGGTTTTTGGGGAGGGAAGTTGTTGTTGATATTGTTTTGGTTCTGGTTAATTCCAGATACCTGAAGAATAGGATGTTTTGTTGTCCACAAAAAAATTACTTTCTGTTCATTTCTCCCAGGTAAACGTAAAGCATTGAAGTTGAATTTTGCAAATCCACCTTTCAAATCCACAGCAAGATTTACTCTCAATACGTCTGCAGTTCCTTTCCAAAATCCTCACATGTGAGTATAAAATCAAGGCTCCAATAATGAATTAATTCTGAAATTATTCTTCCTACCATGTAATGTTAATTGAAAAGCTGTTTCACTGTGTCAGTTATGTTGTAGGCTGTTTAAAATGCTAATTTGAATCAGTGTAAAAGAGTTTGTTTTAATGATTTTTAATAAATTAGGAAAAGGATAAGCTAGAACTCTTCTTCAATTGGGACTACTGCCTTTCAGGATAGGACAGAGAGCTATCAGTTAAATTGTAGTTGATACACAAGTAGGCTGTACCTGTAACTAATTTCCAGTTCTGTTGACTATCATTTTCCTTTTCTCTATTCAGTACTTTTTGCTTTTCATTAAAGATAAATATGTGTTCCTGTGTTTACTTGTGAAGACATATAAATGTGATATAGTGCATAGCACAAAAATGAAAAATAGTAGACTGAAGAATGTAATTTTGCCAAAATCCATATTTTGGGGAATCGTTTAGTGACTAGATCTCACTGACTTTCCAAGCAAGATAGGGAGAGATTTGTGTAAAAGTTGAATATAAGTGGAGAAAAGAGCTGCTTCTGAGATTAAACATGATAAAATGTCACAGAAAATATTAGCTTTGTATCCTCAGATCCATCAGTCTGGATTGATGGGTTACTCATCCGCAAGAGTAAGAGTAGCAGAACTCAGCTAGTGTGCAAAGATGTCCCTTAATTTTTCCTCTTGAGGTTTCTTTACCAGATGTCAAGAGTTTTGCCAAAGGCGAGTCTCAGAAATTTCCCCTGGAGTTTTCCCAGCTGGCTGTGGTGCTCCTGGATTTGGATGGTGTTTTTGTTTTTAGTATGATTCTGCTTTGCATGTTGCTGCACCCTTCCTTTAGCTTAGTGCCTTCTGCTTCCCCAGAATATCTTCCCTGAGGTGTGTTTCTGTCTTTGATCGCTCCCTCTATTCTGCAGCTTTTTGAGCAAGTTTCAGCTGAGTTAGGAATATATTTCTGAAATTCAAGTAGCCATTGCAAATAGGTGAAAAATATAGAAACTTTTTGTGAGCACTTCAGCAGATCTCAGAACCAAGATAGAGGTTTCCAGCTCTCTTTCCTTAAAATATGCCCTACACTTCAGGGACATTCTTTCCTTCCTTTTTTAAATACAAACACATCTGTGTCATTGTGTCTTGGTCTCAGATTTTCCATAGGAGGTTATCTTGTAACCTTTCCTTTTTTCAGGCTCCCCCTCCATCCTGCTTCATAAGATATTCAGTCTCCCTTAGAAGGCCATCTCTCATGACAGTGTGCCTACCATGATGCTCTCTGCCTTGCAGTCTATCTGTGAAATAGTGGGTACTGTCAAGCATGGAAGAATCTTGTGCTGGATGCGGTGAGATCTTAAGTTCCAGATTTATGTTAGTTACACCGGTGAGGTTGCTCTTGAGTAAGCACTACTCTGGTGATGTGGGCACTGCAGTTATGAAGGGGGCTAGAGACCAGGCTGTTCTCTAGGATAGTTGATTCTGTGGAGCCCAATGAATTTGGACATGTTGAGGGTCAGATACAGTGTTAAACTAACAGAAGATGTGTCTGCAGGCAAATGCTATTAGAGGATAAAAGGTGTAATGGTTCTTTCTGTTTGAAAGGTGGGTTAGTCCATTTATATAGACTCGGAGATGTGTGACCCGCCTCATCGCAGATTGTGTGGTCTGGATTGTTTTCCTCTGTCACGTGGGAAACCTAGACAAACTGAGGGGACATGCATTTTATCCTTGTGCTTCTTTGTGGGTTCTGTTTTTTCAAAGACAACACTCTTACCTTTTGATTGCACTCCTTCCACAGTTTCCATGCTCCTGTAGACACTGGTGGGCTACCGCATAGGACTCCAAATTCATTTTTCCTTTGTGGAGAGACCTCTCTAGGCCCTGAAATGGATTGGAACCATTTTTCGCTCTTTTCATGAGACAGATTAATGGATGACTAATTTGAATTGGATATTTCAGACCATCTGGCTCCCACTTTTCAAGGGCCATTCTGACTGAGATTGCTTTCTATTTATTACGTTACTGCTTCTTCTCCAAGCCTTGTGGATTGAGTGGAGTTGGGCTTTTTAGGTTCATGTGCCAATGCTGGCTCAGAACGGTAATGCTGACCTCTCCTGTCTTGATGGATTTTGCTGTATAGATCCCGTTGGTCCAGATAGGTGGATCTGAAGATACAGAGAGGTTAATTTCTCACATGAAATTTAGGTTTCTGTGACTTGGATCCACCAATCCGGAGGCTGTCCCACTGTATCTGCCTCCAAAAAGGGCAGAATTTACTGTTGTCAAATTGTTCTTTTACCTTTTTCTTCTCTGAACTCTTGAAATAATTTATGGGAAGCTGAGAGGAACAGGTTAGTATTGACCAATTGGAGCCACAAAATGTAATTGCCTATTAGCTGTATTCTCCTTGATTGACAGGTTGTGATCGGGGCACTGATCAGGCTGGATTGGTGGATTTTCAGGTAAGAAATTGTGGTTTCTTAATATGTAAATGGAGACTAGGGCAATGAATGTGGTTTTCTGTTCTGCTGAGGCTGTCCTATAAATTCTGCTACTGAAACAAAGAAGCCACTACAGAAGAGGAAACCAAAGTAGATTCCACCAGCCAAATGTATCCTTCATAATTCCACAGTGTAGCCTGAAGTTACACTTAAGTTTTATGCAGAGCGACACCATCCAAAGACCATTGTTCTCAGCAAGCAGTGTTCCACGTTGGACCAAATGATCTGAAAGAACTGCCTGTTGGCTTTGGCACTTGTTATGGGCCATAGTTCTACAAAATGTGAGGGGAGCTGCAACCCAGCCTAGGTGTGGCCCTCCTACTCCTGCCATTGGGCAAAGTTTAGCTGCCCTTCACCACAGACTGTGTCTAAGCTCTTCTTGTCATCTCACTTGCTTTAAAAAAATGGAGAATAGTGTGAAAAAATAGCATCCGGGATGATGTTGAGCTAAGAGCAGGGTTTTAGCTTCTCTGATTTTGAGGCGAAAGATCAATATTAAACCTATTGAAAGTGTTTCATGCAGAGATTTGAGGTATACAGGAGAGCTTCCACCATGACAGCTACATTGTGCCTGGCTCAGTTAGCTGTAATGAGCCTATCAGTTGCTTTAATAATAAATAAACATCTCATTTTTTGAAAGAAGGTAGATTTTTAGGGCAACTTCTATATATATGCCCTGGGATAACATTTTCAAAAATATCTAAGTACCATTTTTAAGTGACTGCATCAGATGTTTAGAAGAATTTTGGTGCCGAACTACTTCTAAAAATATGGGCTGTAGGCATTTAGAAGGCTAAGTACGGGGCTCTGTGTGCAGTGATAGAGGGATCACGTGCTCACCTCCCAGCCCATTGGGGAGTTAGGGTATTCCTGTAGGAGTGAACAAAAGCTAAGAGAAGAGGATGTTGCTTAACAAAATACCTTGTGCACCTCTTCAGTGCAGAAAATGGAAGGTAACATCCATTGGAGTAAGTGGCAAAACTCCCATTGACTTCAGCAGGGCCAGGATTTCACCCTAAATATTTTCTAAATGTGATAGAATTTGGGAGGATTTAGAATAACCTTTAAACAGTAGCCTGACTCACAGTGCCTTGGACTGAGATTACACCTGGGAGGTATTTCTAAACCAAGCCCTAGCAAGTCTGGAATTTGGCTCCCTGAACTGCCTACATGATCCTATAGACAACTCCACCTTAATGCAGTCAGCAGAGGGAGAAAAGGAATCATTGCCTCCGAACCTTACTTGGTCTGACAGAACCTGGATTTAGTGCAGCTCGCCTGAACTATCCGGCTCCTGTGGAGTGACTTGGATGCAGCTGGGGATGACTTTTTGAAGTGTTATGTTGGTTGGGTTTTTCGTCCATGGACAGCTCATGATGTGGATTTTGTTTTTAAAAACTTTCTTCCACTGAATAAAGGGCCTGTGGTTGCTATGGTTGGGTAATTCCGAGAATTCAAGTTAGTTGCTCTTGTTCTGGATGACATTAGTGTGACTGCTTTACGGGTGGGTCTGGACTGGATTAATGTCAGTGTGAAGCACCTAATGCAAGAGATAAGAGTGAAGGGTTTTAGAGTGAAGTGTAGTTCTAGTTCTTACTACTGCACATGGCCATCGGATCATGAGTAGGGCTCTGTGTCCATCATGGAGGTTGTGGAATTGATAGATCTTGTGACGTTCTGTGATCTCCACGACTTCTGCAACAGCATGTGTGTCTGACCCCAGGGCCATCCAAGCAGCTGGCTTCAGAGCTAACTCATCAGGTGGCCCTGGAGCCTGCCACACCAGCTACTGCTGGAACAGCTCTGCAGCCAGCTGCTTTTATAGTCCAGCAGCCAGTCTGACTGGACACAGCTGGAACAGTGCCAGAGCCAGCTGCACTGGAGCTGCTCAGGCAGCCCCAGACAGCTAGTCCTCGGGACTGCCTGAGCAGCAGTCCTAGGGGTGGCTGGGGCAGTTTCTGACAGTGGTCCTGGGGCACTTGGCACAGCCTCTGTTGGCAGCTCCTGCCCCCAGCAGCAACCTGCCCCCAAAGGTGTCCTCTCACAGCAGTGACCCTCTCCCCCAAGATTTAGTGAGGGGTATATATAATATAAGTCAGGGACAGGTCCTAGGCTGTGAACTTCTGTTTATTGCAGTGATCTGTCCATGACCTTTTACTAAAAATACCCATAACTAAATCAGAGTCTTAATCGTAATGAAGCCTAAAAAGAAGGGGCAGCTCATTTAGGTCTAAGTGTAGCCATGCTTACTGTGTCTATTGTTTGAGTGTCATGTGAATAGTCTGGGATAGCGTGGTGCTTTTTTCCTGCATAGGTATACAGCACTTAGCCCTATCGTGATAATATAGTGCAAAGCAGAGAAATACCATAATATGTCATTGTAATTAGTTAGCTTCAAAACTACTGACTCTGTTCAAGAAGTTGAGGAACAACAAAATCCACAGTAGTTACATTATGCAGAGTACAAAATCTGTGCAGTGTTTCCTATTT